GTTTCGCGGAACGCTCGACGCACTGCCTCTGGGAAGCTGCAGAAAATCTACGAGGGAAATCTTGTGCGGCGGGGCCCGGGTCGGCCGAGATTCCATCTCGTGTCCCCCGTGAAGAAGGTCGTAAACGTTTCGGTCAGCGCCGGATTTTTCTCGAAATGTTCGGTTTCCCCCATACACGAGATCCGGCGAGATTGTAGAATACCTGCTGAATCCGGCCGAGGTCGGAAGACATAATTCAACGTGGTTTTTTCTCGCTCGAGATTCGAACAAGTGGCTCCGGCCTCCGGAGCGTCCGAGAAAGGTTTCGCCGAGGGATTTCCCTTATCTTTTTCTCTTCGAGCTGGAGATTGTTAGTCGAACTATAAATAACTCGAGTTTATTGCTCGCGCCTCGATCGATCTACGAGGCGATCATTAACCCCTTGCTCTATGATTAATTTCTTTCTCAACTATGATCGATACGGATAATTTGTCGTTGATAATTTATTGGAAAAAGAGGAAAACTGTGGATATATTCTGCGTTTATGTTCGCTGTTAACCCTTTGCACTCCGAAGTTTTTCACTAGAAATACTTCAACATTTTCTGATGAGATGAAGACGATATTTTGTAAAAGTGGTGAGAGTCACCTCCCTAGTGCAAAGGGTTAAGTATAATAATTGATTACAGAAGAGTGAAATTTACTTTGAATTCGAATGAACTGAGTAATATTCATGTTTGTTAAATCATATTGAAAATCTTCACGAGTCTGACACGTTGTTGTAAACTTCTTACATCGAGTGCCAGTCGATTGCTCTTAAATAGATCAATCGTTTCCTGTATACCTACATTAACCCTTTGCAATCTTGTCAGAGGTTTCTCGCTGGAAATATTTTAAAAATTTCTGACGAGGAACAGACGATATGTTCTGAACTCGAACAGAGATCGCATCGGGGAACAAAGCTGTTTTATTTCAGTATCTCTCAAACTGACGCATTGTACGAAGTACGAAGCGAACATTTTGATCTAGCGCGACAGTGCGTCGATCGTTGACAGGAGTGGCGGGATCCTTAACAGGCCATGGAGTTGGTCTCGTTCCCATTAAATTAGAAGTCACGTCGCAGACTCGGTATTGTCACATTACGACGTCGCCGTCTGAATTTCAAAGCTCGGGCCCCGAACGAATCTCCGTCGAGCATCTCACCCGTTGCGAAGTCCGCCGGGAAAAGAACTCGTTAGCGTTCGTACGAACCTCCACGAAATCCTGCGGCCATAATCGTTAACCTGTTGCGCCACCGGCGTAGACGGTGCTTCTATGCGCTCGGCGCGTCCCGTGCCACGGAGATTTCCCTTTGCGTTTCGGTTTAACCCTTCGGTTTAACTCGGAAGTTTTTCACTTGAAGTATTCAATACTTTCCAATCGGATGTAGACGAGATTCTTTAAAATGAATTTATCAAGAAATCACACATAAATTAGGGAACAAAGCTATTTTCTTTCAATATTTCACGTATCGATGCAGTATACAAAGGGTTAACGTGCCATCGAATCGAATCGAATGCAGTTTCGTTTCCAATTTACTGTAACCGCTCGAGGAAGCGCAATCACGCGCATGAATTCCCCGGGATTCGCGGATGAACGTGTGTGGGCGTACGCTATAGAAAAGATAGGAATTCGCGCCGTGGGAAATGTAAATTTCGGTGCTCGCCGCGTAACCCCTTGCTTATCCGGGATTACTGTTATAGCGGTAGGACGCGCGCGGTAATCGAGGAAGTACAGAAAAACGCCGGAAACAATCAGCGAGTCTGGCATCAACAATAACCGAGCTGCCAGTTGTTCGTGTATTTATAGCATCTGCGAACGTAAATCAGCTCTAAGGTCTCGGTCATCTTCGGAAATTAGAACTTCGAATATTAGCTTCGAATGCCATGGGGGTCACCGGTGACCCCAAGCAAGTCGAATATTGTACTTTTTCCATTTTGTGTATTTTGCTATGTGAAATCGTGCAGCGTTCGACGTAACAAGAAGCAATGTTGCTCATTACCCACGGATCAAAGTAAACTAGTTTGCTATCATCAATTATCTTCAAATGAAATTCCACTTGACGTAGAATGGAAGATTTCGTAGTACTTCCTTCGAAGTATCGATAGTAGAATATTACACAAGCTTAGTAACGAAAGTAAATACGCCAAGGGGTTAAAGTGCACAAACCTTGCCACACACGAAGGTGAATTCTACATCGAGTGCTTGAAAAATAGAAAAAGGTTATCTATACACTGATCTCTTGCTATTCAAGTAATTATGTCATTCGTTTGCAACTTAGTTTACAACCTGCAGCCATCGCGAAGATAAGAAACTCAAAGAGAAATCAACGTAAATCGATTCAGCGCCGACTCGATCGAGTGCAAACGTCGAACGACCGACGGCTGAATTGAAAAAAAAGAACCGGCGCGAATCGATTCTGGCCGGGCAGAAACGGCGACCGCGAGTCGAGTGAATTTCCGAACACCCTGTAGAGAGAGGCGAGGAGTTACGTGGCCGCGGCGTAACAGCACGGTTCAAACTTACGCCGCTACGTGTATACCGCTTGACAGCATAACCGACATAGTGGTTAGAGACGCGAAACCTAGCCTTAACCGTGAGCCTGGGCGTCCATCATAAACCAGTACGCGGACACGTGTGTATAGGTAGCTCGGCGTACATACGTACGTCCACCGGAGGGCCGTGCGTGCAATCGCCGTGGATCGTACAGGTGGCGTAGACGCGGGGATTCTCCTCGGCGCGCATGCCTCGTAGATCCGCGAGCAGAAATACCACTCGGCTGCGCGAGGAAAGTTCGTTGCGTCGGAAACTCAGGTTTCCTCGAAATATCGGTCGGCCGTTTGCGAAGGGAAGCTCTTCGATGGGGAATGAATAATGAAGGTGAAGCTGAATAATGAGGAGAAATGTAATGGGGGTGTTATGGTAGATGTTTAAGAATAAAGAGAGTAATTGATAAGGCATTTATGATAGGAAGACTTTTCGATGGGAAATGAATAATCACGAAGATGAAGCAGAGTGACGTAGGAGAAATGTAATGGGGGTATTATGGTAGACGTTTAATAATAAAGAGAGTAATTGATAAGACATTTATGATAGGAAGCTTTTCGATGGGAAATGAATAATCACGAAGGAGCAAAGTAACGCAGGAGAACTAAATACGATGGAAGTATTGTCGTAAATGTTTAAGAATAAACAAAGAGAGTAACACAAAAGAGAGAGAACGAATAAAGACAAAGAAGATAATGATGGTTTTTGTAGAACTTTTCCGTTAGATTTTGCGTGGTGCAGGCTGAAAGCAACCCCTAACGAGAAACGTGTGTGTTCTTTTTCTCGTGGGCATTGTGCTCGGTTGAGGAGTGCAGCGAGAAAGGTGGCTTAGAAGAGATTTTAACGGATCATCGAGGATTTACGATGGATACCGAGGTTTTTTACGATTCCGACGAGAAGAAAGAACATGCACGTGTTTGTGAAAGGTAGTGGTAAGGTTCCGGGGGTATACAATCGAAGCCTCTAAGCGCGATCCGTGTTCTTATCGAGCGTATCGAAAAGATCGCGGGAATCCTGACCCACTATCGGCTCGGTATCTGTTGAATCGAAGTTCAGGTACGTGGTGTAGGTCACCGTTGACCCTCACGATGGTGCAGCGCATTGAACTTTCGAGTATCCGAGCTGCCGCGTGCATTCTTGCCGTCGCCATTATTATTCTCCCCTTGTTATTTGGCAATGATTGAATGTAAACACGACGAGCGCATAATTCGCGTAATGTTATGCAACGGCGAGGTGCAGTTAGAAATTGTTTTCAAACTTTTTACGCTGCATAATGCATTGTCGGTACGAATCTCCGCACGCTTCTCCAGTCTCCGGCAAAAACACGTGAACTCGGCCGAGAAATAAAGGAATGCATTCGGTATTTCCGTGTTGCACGTAAGGAACTTGGTTCTCTAACGTCGATAACAACGAAACATTAAGTAAATAACTGTAGAACAACCAAAATGAACTGTATCCACTGAAAGAGTACATAAAGAAAATGGTTCCCCAGAACGCATCGCTCGCCGGTGACCTGAATTTCCTCGCGAGTAAGAGTCAAGAAACCTCAAAAGCATCGATCTCGGCGCGCGTTCCCTGCTGTCGATCGGGTTTCCAGAAAATGGGCCAAGTTCGAGTGCCGGGGCGCTTCCTCTTCGCCGGGCGTCCGCGGGGAAAGATAAGAAAATCGCAGGAAAAACACGAGCCCGCATCCCGTACGTCGGACAAAACCGGCTACCGGTGAAGACAATGCGCGCGAGCGCGTCGCGGCGGGACCGGGAGGAGGCGAGGGGAACGTCGCTGTGAGGCGAGGAGGGCGGGAGGACCGGCGAAGGAGGGAAAGAGGAACGAAAGAGGATCCCGGGACAAGACGCGCGA